ATTTAAAACTTTAAAAGTGTTGTACCAGGTGGATTTGATCCCCCGACTTTAAAAAGAAAGTTTTCACGATGTAAAAATCTGCGCATATATTAATTGTCAGCCAGTCTGACTATAAGAATGAAAGGAATAAATTTGAAGCAGATTATCAAAATCAGGGTTCCTTATTTTTTGTAGGTTTTTTGTGAATTTCAACCATAGGGCAGGGGTGCCCCTAAAAAAATCCTATCTTAAATTATTCCTTACATCCTAACCTATCCAAATATCACAATTTTTTTTAGGGGCAGGCCTGCCCTGAAGGACTTCTAAGCCAAAATTCATGCAAAAATCAACGTTTTAATGGACAAAATGGTGTTTTGGCCAACTTTAGAGGTTTATTGTAAAGTTGTAAATAATAAATTTTAGGTGTGAAATACAAATTTGAAAAATTTAAACATATATATTGTAGAAAAGAACAAATAAAGATTAAAATTTAAATGTCACTTTTTCCAGGAAATTGTTCTCTCCTATAGGTCAATTCTTTTGTCATTGTGTATACATGGACCTTTCTTGAACAGAAAAAAAAAAAACAGACATAAACTTAAATTATTTCAGCTGGGGTTGAGTTGACTTCTTAAATATGCTTATTATCTTCATATCTATCACTTTTCATTCCAACTCAGCACATATTTTTAAAATTATCTTAGAATCGTTAAAAAAAACAAGACAGTTTATATAATAAATTTTTGGAGTGTCTAATGTTTTGTGTGTCATAACAGAGAAGGAAGAGTAAGGTTTCCCGATCCTTCCACATTTGAAAACATCTTCGGCTGACGCAACATTGAAATGATGTAGCGATGCTGCTCCAGGTCGATAGACATTATGCATGTTGATGATTTCACTGTTACTAATCTAATTACCCTATAAATTAGAAAATCTGCACATTTGTTTTATTTGATCTTTATAAAACGTTAGTGAATTTTCATGAATTTACCTCTGTCAATGTTGTGCCCTCACCCCCCCCCCCACCCCGGAACCACTGACCCTGGGGGCACATATTTCAAAATTCTGGAAATTTTATCATAAATTTTATTTCATGATAAATGGTTGATTAATACCAAAAAGCAGATTTAAAAGCATTAATTTATTTTCAGACTATGTAACCCCCAACCCCATCCCAAGGACCCCTGACCCAGGGGCCCCGAGATTAACCATTTTGGAAGAGGCACCTTTCATCATCATTAATATACTCATATACTAAGAACATTGGCATATAATACCCAGGAGCAAAGGAAAAGATTTTCAAAGAATTCATGCATTTTTACTATATAATCATTAGAGCCCTGCCCTAACACCAGAACCCCTGACCCTGGAGCCGTGAAATTCACAAATCTGGAAGAGGCATCCTTTCTCTTTATAACTATGTACATAGTTCACTGGTTAAATACCCAGAAGCAGAGGATAAGATTTTTAAAGAATTAATGTATTTCCAATATACAATCAATAGAGCCCCACCCTAACACCAGAGCCCCCAACCCAGGGGCCAGAGAAATTCTTGCTTATCATAACTATGTACTTGGTTAGTTTGTTTAATACCCAGGAGCAGAGAAAATTTAAAAAGCATTTTATGCATTTTCACTAAATAATTAATAGGGTCCCGCCCTACCACAAGAACCCCTGACCCCGGGGCCATGAAATTCACAATTTTGGAAAAAGCAGTCTTATTCAACATAACTATGTATACTTGTCAAAATTTTTAAGTCCCCACTTTTATTATTTCAAAAAATTAAAACCTTAACATCAATTTACTAGTTGCTTACAAATTATTAATTTGTCTTTAATTTGCAATGCTTACCTGTCAAGGCAAAAAAAATTGTAATTGCATGTGTAATTACTCCACTGTGACCATTTTCATTAAAAAGCATGAAGTTTGAGCGCCATAAGTTTTACAGGTGTATTTTTCATATTTTTTATTTCTGAGTGCTCTCCATCTTTAATTGTTAATGAAAAACAGAAAAAATGCTTCATCAAAATGCGGTGTATGACTACAAAGCAATGTGCAAGTGAAGTTGAAATGGCCCAAGCTGGTCATAGTTATCGAGAGTTTTGTTTCCTTTTACTGTGTATCTTTATTTTACTTAAAACCTTTATAATTATCACCCGAAAGACCTACAAAGCATACCTTTCTTCCTTACAATCATTACAAATCACTAGATTTTTAACAAACACCACAAAACCCATCCTAGAGTTTATCCCGAAAAATCAATGGGACCAGAACCAGCAGTGCCCTCCCCTCAATGTCAAACTGGAGGAGTGGGGAATGCATGTAAGGAGAAGTTATATAACTATTGTTGGCAGGGCACAGACAATTTTGGTAAGCCCCCTTGTCATTTTTGGAAGAGGCAGCCTTATTCAACATAACTATGTTTTATTTAATGCCCAGGAGCAGAGAAAAAGATTTTCAAAGAAATAATGCATTTTCACTGTATAATCTATTTAGCCCCACACTAGCACTAAAACCCCTGACCCCAGGGCCATGAATTTCACAATTTTGGTAGAGGACTCAATGCTGATGACAATCATGCCAACAGTTTGACTGCTTGATGTCCAGGAGTAAAGAAGAAGATTTTTAAAGATTGCATTAATTTTAGCAATAGACCTACTGGATATAGTATATATGTAGGTTGGAAATGTAGGGCTATGCCCATCACCATGATTTTACAGGTCTAATATTAGCCATTAAAACGGTTTACATAAGACACATATAAAAATTTCCACACATAAATATAAAATAAGTACTTTTCCGAAAGATATTACTAGATATTTTACATCAGACAAAAGTTATACGTAAAAATAACTTCAGGTAATATTTCTAGTATATATACATATACCAACAAATGTTTCTCAAGACCATAAAAAGTTTGTTCTTGAGTAACTTTTGTGATGCAGTTCTTTACCAGATTTCCCCTCTTCTTATATCAATTGTGGCCCCTTACCACCCCCCTCCCCCCCCCCCCCCGTCCCGTATTTTTTAATAATTTAGAGGAAGATAAGTTTCAGCTTTCCTGGCCCACTGGCAGAAGGAGATTTTTCCTATATATTTCTATATAAAAATCGGATTCCCTATTGTGGCCCAGCCTTACCCGGGGGGTCATGGTTTTAACAATTTAAAATCTACACTATCCCAGGATGATTTCACTTATGTTTCAGCTATCCTCGCCCACTGGTTCTTGAAAGGAAGATTTTTAAAGATTATTCCTATGTATAAATTTGTTTTGTTTTGTTTTTCTTGTTAAGCTTTTAAATTTTTGGCCAAATGGTTATTGGATTTTTTTTTTCCTTTATATTTCTATGTAAAACTTGGATTTCCTATTGTGGCCCTGCCCTACCCCGGAGGTCATGATTTTTACAATTTAGATTCTTCACTACCCAAGGATGATTCCATATTAATTTCAGCTTTTCTGGCCAAATGAAAATTTTTAAATTTTTCCTATATATATAAAACTACTTCCTATTGAAAATTTAAAATCAAATATGTTCCATATTATTTTCAGTGACTGGTTCTTGAGAAGAAGATTTTTCAAGATTTTTCCTTTATATATTTCTATGTAAAACTTGGATTTCCTATATATGGATGAATTCAACAATTTAATCTAGCCTTTGCTTTACATATTTTATTTAGATATTTTTCATATATTTCTGTGTAAAACTTGGATTTACAGCACACTTTTAAATAGAAAGCATCTAATCTGGATATAAAGGATTTTTTTTTTCCTTTTCTTTGAAAAAATTCATATAAAATTAATAAGAGCTAATATTGGTCTTTCAATGTTGAGAAGAAGTTGAAAATTTTTAAAAAAGATGACACAGAGATGTTTAAAATAACAATTGGTGTGGCATTTTTCCTTAATAACTGATATTACTCTGAATAAAGTTTAGGCAATAATTTACGTTAATTTTGCTTTGTTTTTCTTGTTAAGAAATTTCTGGGTTGGATTTTTTTTAACTAAGGTGAACCCCTCATAAAAGAATGTCCATAAGGTTTTTTGAAAATTCACATACAAAAATAAAAATTTAATATGTGTGACACAATAAAATTAAATACAGTTGGCAGTGAAATGATAAATATGATCAGCCTTTCTTTATATATTTTAAGATATTCATAATTCATTTACAGCAAACTTTTGAATCAAAGCATCTAATATATAAAATTTTTTTTTCTCTCTATAAAATTAATAAGAGCTAATATTGGTCTTTCAATGTTGAGACCATTGTTTAAAAAAGATGACACAGAGATCCAAAAATTACTCTGAATACATGTACTTCAGAAAGAAACAACGATTAAAAGATGTCCATAAGGCAATGACAACAAAATAAATTTAATATACACAATAAAATTAAATACAGTGAGTGAAATGAAAATATGAGCAGATGAAATAATAAAATAGTGGCAGTCTTATAACTTCTCTCTATAGTGAGCAGGTATAAGGGAGATATTCACACAAAAATTTCAATATACATGTACTTTGATATTCACTGCAAATATAAACTACGACAGACAGACAGACAGACATGTAATCTATAGCTACCCTGACTACCTATCATATACATGTGAATGTACATGTGACTAAGAAGGGCAAGGGGGGGGGGGGGGGTGGACATTACCTGTACCTATTATGTACATTTTCCCACAGCTACCACAGCTCTGTCAACATATGTTCAGTCAGCAGTTGTCAAAAAAATATGCATATGTATCATGCAGTGCAGTGCAAAGGTGTTAGTATAAGAATCTGAATTTTAAAACTATATATATCAATTACCAATACAATAAGGACAGGGCACAAATGTTTTGTTTTCAATTTACATGTAAGTCTATATAGAGTAGATAATAATACAAAACAGACAGACGAACATAAAAACAGGCAGACGAACATAAAAACAGACATCCGAATCACTATAGCTATATATACCCTTCAACTTTTAAAGCAGGGGTATAAAATTCTTAACTAGTATATATATACTGGTTAGGTAAACAAGTGCTGTATGGTAGACTCTCTTACCAATACCTGGTGGAATAATTCCGAATGAATCACCACAGAAATCACAATATAAAATCACAGTCCACAATGTTGATCACTAATATTGTACTTAGGCTAAAGTCAGCCAGCACAAAACTCTCACTTTGACAGTTAAAACATATTGTAGCTCTCACAAAAAGGAAGGTAGAGGTTGACCATCATTTATCAGCTAACTGCTTTATCCTGTGTTAAGGCACCATCCATCATAAACAACCAACTAGAGCACCAAATGTAGTAGTAAGTCTTATGTGAAGAATGTAACACACAGATAATTATGGGTCCATTATTCATTTGATATTGCAGTGTTGGTGTGGATGGATTCAGACGTAGTGGTCTCAATAGCCCTATAATAGGAATAAACAATATTTTAAAAGCATAAACTAAACAACTGATGCTCCCACATGGTAGAATAAATGGTAATCTGTTTCTGAGATGCTCCAAAGGTCAAGGTCAAAAGATTAAATTTGTGATATCCAAAAGAAGGTCTTGTTACTTAGAATACACCTGTGAAATATGAAATTGTTCAAAAGTTATGACCAAGGTTAAATTTTTTAAAACTCAGGGTCAAACTCTTAGGCCAAAGTCAAAAGTATATATACCCACTGAAGGTTTAGTCAAATATTAATAAACATTTTAACCTAGCCCCAACTCAAGGCTTGATATTCATTACATCCAGGTCTTGTAAAAGAACCCTGTCCCAATTGAACATTAACTCTTTTTCCCAAAATTTCGCTAAAAAAACACCCAAATTATAGGCAAATTAAATATTTTTGTCCTTTTCATCATACAAAAAACTTGAATTTTAAGAATTTAAGGATTTATTAATATGTGAATAGGGTACAAGCCTTCAAGGTTTTGCTTTTTTTAAACATTAAAACTTTATTCAAGGGAAATGCCATAGACCCATATGCACCCACTCAAAATTTATGGGCAAGGTTAATTTTTTGCATACAAACAGGCAGAGTGAAGGTTTCTTTTTAACAGCAATTGTAACGCCATTTTGTTTATAATATTATGATCCGCCGCTGTAGATTAAGTCACAACAGTACTTTTTTCAATTTATTTAAGGTTTTACTAACTTTACCTTGACTGTGCCTGTCTGTTCCTTCCCAAATCTGTTCATATGCTGGAAGATGTCAGTCATCTTTGACAACTAAAATAGATCATAAAGAAATAAAAACACTGATACCCTGTATGGCAGTTTAAGACTGAGGTTGAAGTTACCCAAATGCATGTCAAAATTTAAGACCAAAAGGTCAAAATTGTTGGTATCAAGAGTAAGGTCTTTTAACAAGGGAAACGCCAAAAGCTGTAGTATTTACAGTTTAATGCCCTGTTCACACGGAGAGTTTAATTCGAATTAAACATAAAGTTACTGCGAATTAGCTTCGCTCAGTGTTCACACAGAGAATTTAATGCGAATTAGTTTAATTCGAATTAGTTTACTGCGCATTAAATTACTTCGCATTAGCTCCGTGTGAACGTTAAGTGAAGCTAATTCGAATTAAATTCTGACGCATGCGTAATGGCAAAATTTAGTCAAATACCACTTGTCGATGGTCAGGTATAGGTACTTGTGCTATTTTTGAGCGAAAAACTAAGGAAAAGTTTGTTAATCATTAAAATGTGTGTACAGACACTGTGACATTATGTCAAATGGATCTGCTTCTGAAGATGATGTGATTTGCAAATGACGTCATAATAGCCGTACTGACGCCGGGCTGCAGAAGTAAAATTTTAATTCGCATCAGTTTACTTCGCATTAGCTGTTGTGTGAATGCAATTTAATTCGCATTAGTTTGATTCGCATTAGTTTACTTTGCATAAATTTTTTGCGAATTAACCTCTCAGTGTGAACAGGGCATAAATGTCATGGCCAAGGTTAAAGTTTTTTACAAAGTGGGCCAAACTTAAAGGTCAAGGTCAAAAGGTCAAATTCTTTTATGTCAGTTGAAAGGTCTAATCACTATAAATACATGTAAAGTATGAAAGCCCAAGCACCAATTGTTCATAAGATATGGCCAGGTTACAGTTCGTTTTTTTTTTTTTTTTTGTTAAAGTGGGTCAAAATCTATGGTCAAGGTCAAGGGGTCAAATATGGTGGTACCCAAACTGCCAAAGAAAGGTCATGTCAAAAGGAATACACCTGTGAAATAAGAAAGCAATATAGCGCCCCATCAAATAAAACATTATGGGTAAAGTTAGTTTTTGTTGACAAAGACAAACAGATAAACAGACAGATGGACGGACAGAACAAAATATATACCACTAAATCTTGATTACAGCGGCATAAAAATTAACAATAAACTTACAAGGTATGCATATTACAAGGACAATAGCTCTTGCTATCTCCTTTCATTTTGAATTAATTTACAAGTTATTTCCCTTGATTGCATAAAAGTATAAATTTAAACATTAATTTTGAAAATTAATATTATTTATATATAATATTACGTAATATATACATTTCGATGTAACTGTTTCACATTACATTTACGTTTGATAAAAACATTATACTTCACATGATTACATGTATCAAATAATCACCTGTTTCACTGGCGGATTTAGAGGGGGACCAGCCCCCCCCCTTCTTTGTGTCCAAAATAAGCATAAGATTTTATAAATTTGTGGCTGTAAGCCCCTACCCCGACCCCAAACTGCCCACCCCCTTGAAGATTTTTTGCTCCGTCACTGTGTTTATGGAGCGAGGCAAACTCAATAAAGCTGCACGAATATGTCTGTTATACTATACATACATACATACATAGGTACCAATAATCTGTCAGGTTTCAGGTTTGTCAGGATGGTTCTAATATCATCTGTTTTTGAAAGTGGGGGGGCAGGTTTTTTTTTACAGGTTTGTCAGGATGGTTTTTTTCAAAACCAACTATCTTTCAATTCAAACTTTTTGGCATAACACTACACTCTGACATACAGTAAGCTTAACATATACACTAATTAGAGCTTTCCTCAAAGAAACCTGTCTTTTTGATGAACAAAGGCAGTTCACCAATAGCGGGAAAAATTCTTAAGTAAGCCTATTGGTTCTTCAAACCACATGACATGTATCACATGTCAGAATTTGGCCAAATAGGTAAAATAGCCATAGGCAATATACTGCGGATTGAAAGAGCAATGATTATTCAATAGCCCAGAAAGAATAGGGCAATACATGAATGTATATTCAATTGCGTTTCAACTCAAATCAACGAAGGATTTAGAAGGGGGCCAAGCCACCACCACCCTCCCATTTTGATGTCTTAAATATACAAAAGATTAAATAAATTAATTTTTTGTGTTACTCAGGTTATTAGTTTAAATTCAAAATATCTTGGAAAATTATCAGTAGGTAAGGTACCTTGCGTATGTCCTTAATTTTAGAAAAAAGATATTATAATAATAATAATAATAATTTTACATACTTCTTTCGAAAAACTTCAATTGATTACCCGGTAATTTAAATGATATTGAAGATAAATTTCATTTTTTATTAATTTGTCCAATTTTTCACGGTTAATCATGAGGTAAAGTTTCTGAAATAATAAAGATTATCTACAGAACTATAAAACAATGTATTTTGGCAAAAAGGTAAAGTCAGGTAAATATCTTGTTCTATTAAAGAGTTTCGATAAGTCAAATAGGGGTCATTTTTTTCATCAAAATTTTTCCATAGCGATTTTTAGGCTATGAAAAACGTATGTTGGTTGCCATGGTAACTATTGACCATAGGAACCATTTAATAATGAGTTTTAGTTTCATACATCAATATAGGAATACGTTCCAAGTTTCATGAAAATCCAAGACATAACGTGCCACACGCCCTATATGACTAAAAATGCTTACAGAGAGTGGCTACTAAGAGACTTCATCAAACATTACTACTCCCGCAGACCAAGTGTCTTCAAACTAACACATCTATTCCGTAGTACAAATACCAAAGATGTAAATCAGTTAGGGAAATATATATATCATGCTAATAAATTACGACTTGAATGTTTAAAACATAGAATGTATGTATCACTAGTTTGTAAGTGTATAACTTGTTACTGTACTATGTTTGTAATTGTTAAATATATATTGTACTATAATTCTTATGGGATGTACGTCCCACGGAATGAAGAACTGAACTGAATCTACCCTAGCTCGATCATCGTGAACGAGAAGACAGGAAGAAGGTCTCTCCAGCTTTCCATTAGGATGTGATCTGCAAGACACCTTTTGTGTCCTCTTTTGTTGCCCGTTTCGTGAAGGTGAAGGGGACATTAAATCTCATTCGTCTGTCATGCGGTCCGTAGGTCTGCCAGTCTCTTCGTCTGCCACAAAAACTTTAACATTGGTCATAATCTATCTTTTGAATGGGAAGAAATAGAACTTTCGTGTTACACATGTGTCTATTACTCGTGACAAGCTCTTTCTGTCTATTACTCGTGACAAGCTCTTTCTGGCTCTAAATTCGCTCTTGACTGACTTGAGTACATCTGGGAGAACAAATAAAGAATTCAGCTGTAAACACTATTTTGTCTTAGATTTCTTTATGTGCACTTGAAGTTTTAACTCTAAATAGGACAAACAATGTTTTAATACATAACTAAGTCAAAAATAAATATTTTATTACCAGCCGCCAGGAGGCGGTTGGTTATTTGATATGAAAGTTTGAAGTCGTCGTGTGTTTCTGCGAAGTTAAAACAATTTAAATAAAAAATATTTAATATTCGTATCATTAATGTTTGAAATGTGTGCAACTTATGACAGTCATATAACATAACATGACAGACATATAACATAACCATACCATGATTAGATTACATTTTTGGTGCTTAGCAATACAAATGACATGTATTCGTAAAGAATAAAATCAAACAATTAAACAATGCATAATTAAGTTTGAAACCAGCCAATGAAATTATCATTCAAAGCTTATTTTTTATTCTTGGAAATCAGAAAACACAAGATACTATTATTTTTAAAAATACTGATAAAATTTTAAAAATAAAATTACCGTATATCGTCTAGATCAAACCTATATAACGTAACATGTATGGATGCACGCAACCCTAACAGACTCGTTTTAAACAGCTGCAGGAAAACAACTACAAAATTGTATTGTACAAATTCTGCCTTTTGAAACATTAATATTCTTAATAGATAAAAACGTATTTGTTTTCATTCACTGAATATGTAAATCTGAATGCACCCGTTTGATTTACGTAACAGACATTACATACACTACAATTGTTTACCCCTTACTTTGACCTTGACGTTTGACCTATTACTGTGAAAGTCCTTCCTTAAGGTCAAGATCTAGTAAACAACTTTAAACTAATTTTTTGGTGCTAGATCCATTATGACGTCATAATCTATGACCTTATTTTTTCCAAACACCCCCAAAAACTTAGGTGATTACTCAAGATTGAATTATATAAATATTGCATGTAGTTGAGTGTAACATTGAAAATTTTCACCCCAAGAAAACCATTGTCAACCGAGGCGCAGCCGAGGTTGACAATGGTTTTCGAGGGGTGAAAATTTTCAATGTTACCCTCAACTACATGCAATATTTATTATATTATACTGAATGTTTTAAACAAATACATACAGTGAACCGTGCGCGCATAAATTCCGCGCAGTCGTTATTTTTTGGAATACCACCCGTCGTCAAGCAATGTTGACTGTTGCTACGCAGGAGGGCGTGGCTTCATTATTCAGCGGGTAGTAGTGTTTTTTATCAAATGTTTCTCGACGAATCAGATTCAAGTAATTTACATGAAAGTATAATATAACATAATATGAAAGGGCGTTCATCATATTTGACACAACATAAATAACGACGTATTCCACACAATGCACAAATACACCGAAAGTGCGGGGGACCACGATTCTTTGAATTTGCTTGTTTCTCTTAGCAAACGATCAAAACTTTTTGTATCATTTTAAATCTTTATGAAACAATTTTACCATATATGTAAAAATAAGAAAAATTAAAACATAGGAAGAATAAAAAGATAACTAATTTATATCCTTTAAAAAATAAGAAAAGTAGAGAAAATTCGAATTAACTAATATACTAATCTACTTATCCTTTAAAAAATAAGAAAAGTAGAGAAAATTCGAATTAACTAATATACTAATCTACTTTTCTTATTTTTTAAAGGATATAAATTAGTTATCGTTATATTCTTCCTATATTTGAATTAGTTACATCTTCATTTTGATGACAATAAATTCTTATCATTCATCAATGTTAACTGACGTTTTTTTTTTTACACCGATGAATTTATTTATGAGCAAATGTGGTAAAATGTTTATTTATTTAGTTTTTTTTAGAATTTTTTTTTTTTTTTGCTTTGAAGCCAGCCTGAAATAAAACTAATTCAACTATATCACCTTTGAGTATCTTGACGTGCTTTCCTTGCATGGACAATTTTAAAATTGTAAAAGATTTTTTTTTAATGCTAAATTTTGTTTGCGTCCGATTTGATGCTTTGCATCAAATTTACTTGTTCTTAATGTCCAGGGAAAAGGTAATTAATGACCTTGGCCTGACCTTGCCACTAATATAAAGCGGTCAAACTTAATCTTACTGATGCCATCACTTAGTGATATTGTTCAGGCTCGTAGCAACGGGGGGGGGGGGCTGCCACCCTCCCCCAACCTTTTTGCCCAATTACTTATACTATAGGATATGTTCATTGAAAGGCTGGTTGGCCCCCAAGTTTTTGTGATATAAGGAAAATGTAATATTGTAGGTCAAATGAATTGATACTGAAGGAATCGGCATTGAAAAAAAAAATTGGCTTCTACTCCCCACCCCCCTCCCCATCCCCACGAAATAGGATTTTCGACTTTGGGCAACTTTACCCTTTTTTTTTTGCTTTTCAACTTTTTCAGGTAAGTAAAAAAAAATTGTCCTTGCTGCCCCCCCCCCCCCCACTTTCAAAAACGATGCTACGTAGCTGTTGTCTTCTTGATTCTGTGAAAATTTCATTAATTTTTAAATACAAGAAATACGAGAAGAATCTTACCTTTTAAAACAGTAAATCATACGCATCATTTTACTATGATGCGCGAAATGTTTTGCAATGGAAACCCCAGTCGGTCGCCTTTAACAAGGTGTTCATTGATTCTACTGACCATTTATTGCCCCCCGCTTTCGTGAAAGCGAGAGAACATTAAATCACATTCGTCTGTCCGTCTGTCAGTCTGTCCGTCCGTCACAAAAACTTTAACCTTGGTTAAATCTTTTGAATGAGGTGATAGGACTTTCATATTACACATGTGATAACACTAAGATTTTTGACCCCATGAACTTGATCTTGAAGTTTTTCCTATTTTTAAAAAATAACTTTTGAATGACAAGAGATGGCTAGGGTTTTTATAAAAGAGATCTGTATTACATGTACCTGTGACAAGACCTTCTTTAATACACCACTTTTTTAACCTTGACCATGAAGTTTGACATACTTTTCAAAAACTTTAACCTTGGTCTTATCTTTAGAATGTGAAGAGAGAGGACTTCTATATTGCACAAGTATATTACATGTAATTGTGTCAAGGCCTTTCTGAATACACTATGATTTTTACGCCGTAACCTTGACCTTCAAGTTTGACATACTTTTAAGAAATAAGATATCAGTTTTAGATTTTCATTGGGGTATACCATGAAGTCGGTCACGTGATCAGATTCTATAACGCCCAAAGTGTGTTATAATAGATTTGATCACGTACCGAATTCATGTCATACCCCAATGAAACTCTTTAAAAAATGATATTTTATTTCTTATATTTATATTTTACGTCTTTATTCAAAATACAAAGA